CATCCCAACATGCCGACTTCGTTGGCTTGCCTATGTTGTGATTTTATCGGTTCAAATCTTGAGGACCTGTGCAGCCACTTGTGCGAACATTTACTCTTTCAGCTTCAGCCCTACTTAGGCAGGACAGAATAAGTCATGCCGGAGGCGGTGATGGGCGTCGCTCTTCAGATGCCAGATTGGTTCAGCGAGGGGACCAACCGCAAGCCAGAGGGCGAGCAATCAAACGAGAACGGGGGCCAGCAGGGCGGCGGGGGCAAGAAACCAGCACGGGGCCAAGACGTCCCCCCATCCAGCAGCTTACAGAAGAAGGTGGACACCACTATCCGTCTCGTTCTATCCAACGCAAGGGAACTGGCCGACGTCTCAGCCAGCATATTCCTCCAGTTCGAGCTCGCAGTCGCGACCGCCCTCATCGTCGCCCTGTTGCAGTCCGCGAAAGACTACGATAGCAAGTCCCAGGAGATGCGCGAGAAAGCGAAGGGGGGGGAGACGGTGGATTTCAAGAATCGAGCCCCCCCCCCACGTGTGCATACTCATGGCAGCCGTTCACTACGGATGCACGAAGAGCGTACCCGAGGGGGAGAACCAGAAACGAGCTCTGACCAACAAAGAGAACATGATTCAGTTCTGGACGGAGCAGTTCTCCAAACTTCATTGGCGGGAGATCGGTCGTGCTTGCGGCCACTTGCGGGTGAAGGTGCACCGTCCGGAGGAGAACGCCATCCAGAAATGCACTCTCTACATGCAGTTTCACATGAGGAGCAGGATTGGGGACGTCTTGGCGGAGCTAGTGGAGGAGATGGTGGTGTTGGAGGGGGGGAAGTTCCTGGTGGGCCCAGCCCCAAGGGGCCATTCGAACGCGAGCAGTCCAAACACATAGGGACGCACAAGCAGTGAGGGCATTTGCGAGCATGAGCGCTACCAGTCTCTAGTAGCACGAGGTGTTATAGAACCTCAAGCAGCCAGATCGATTCAGACATATATGCATGATAGTTTACCTGCTGTAACAGTCGTAGTATTGCCCCCCAGCCGAAGCGCAAGGGGAGAGGGAAAGGTGGGTCTCGGGGTCGGAGTCGAGGTCAGGTGTCGTCGGGTCGTGGGAGGGGGGGCGGTCAGAATGCTACGAGCGGGGAGCGCAGCGACGGAGCGTGAGGGCGCTTCGCGCCTGCGGCCCGCGGCAGCCCCGGAAACTTTACTGCAAGTGGCCCTCGGCTGTCTCCGAGGTTTCCAAGAGCCTCTGGGGGGGGGAGACGGGCCGCTGGCCGGGCCCTCTCCTCCCCTGGCTCTGGTGCAGCCTCTCCCCCAGACCAGCCTCCCCGCCGCGAGAGAGTGCGGAAGCCCGACCTGGAGCTGCCAGGCAGGACCCCGCGCCGCGCGAGCCCGCGGCCCGAGCCCTCTGCGTGGGGGCCTAGTGGTTGCGGGCCTTGGCCAGCGCTGCCATTGCGCAGAGAGCAGCAAGTCGGCCTACAGTGCAAGGTGGAGGTATTGCAATGCCTCTCTCAGAATCCTTTCTGACACGCTCGTCAGCTAATGTTTGGGAAGGTTTCGGCTCCATTGTAGCAGTCTTGGATTCCATGAGCTCGGATCGAATTCTCGTCCTCCTCGTCTTCGCCCTATTCCGCGTCCTCATATTCATCCTACTCCTCTTCCTCCTTCTCCTCCTCCTCCGACGACGACGACGACGACGACGACGAGTCCTCCTCCATCCTCCCCCTTCTTGGGATATATGACGGTTTCCCCCGCCCTTTGTTTCTGCATGACACCCCACTTCCCTGATCACCTCAATTCTCCTGGACATCGTTTCTGAACGGGCGAACGGGGATACGCACAGCGTCAACAGTTTTTTGGGAGCATCCCGCACGACACGTCCTGCCCCGAAACCGACCGACCACTACGCCCTGGCATCCACAGGGGTATGGACAAAAGTCGGAACACCCCGCACGGCAAATCTTGGCCCGAAACGGACAGACCCCAACTCTAAGCCCCGGCATCCCCAGGATTCTGGAAACTGTTGTTGGACCGCCCCACACGACAAATAATGCCCCGAAACCGACCGACCCCCGCCCATACGCCCAGGCATCACCAGGGATCTGAATAATGTTTTTGGAACACCGAAGCCGACCGCCCACCCCTACGCCCTGGCATCCACAAGGTTTTGGATACTGTTTTAAATACCTCACACGACACATCCTGCCCCGAAACGGGCCGATCCCCCCTTGCGCCCCGGTTATGGATAATATGTTTGCAACACCCCACGCGACAAATCCTGCCCCGAAACCGACCGACCCCCCTACGCCCAGGCATCCCCAGGGCTGTAGATTGTGGAGCACCCCACACGACAAATGTTGCCCCAAAACGGATCGCCCCCCCAAGGGTTCTGATAATGGTATTGCAGCACCCCCGCAAAACAAAACCTGCCCCGAAACCGACAGACCCCGCCCCCCCCCCCGCCGCCCCGGCATCCCCAGGGTTCCAGATAATGTTGTTGGGAGCACCCCACACCACAAATCCTGCCCAGATACCGACCAACCCCCCCCGTATGCCCTGGCATCTCCAGAGTTATGGACAATGTTTTCTGAAGCACCCACACGGCAAATCCTGCCCCGAAACCGACCAACCTCTCCCCTACGCACTGGCATCCCCAGGACTCTGGATAATGATTTTTGTGAACCCACACGACAAGCCCCCCGGCAGCCCCACAGCTGCGCCTGAGTGTTTGGAACACCCCCCGCACGACAAATCCTGGCCGAAACCGATCGACCCCCTTCCCCGTACGCCTGGGCATCCCCGAGGTTTTGGACAGTGTCTTTGAAACACACCGGACGACAAATCTTAACCCGAAATCGATTGACCCACGCCCCCACGCCAAGGCATCCCCAGGGCTTCGGATTATGTTTGTGGAACACCCGAAACGGTAAATCTTGCCCCGGAACTGACCGACACCATCCCTCCTTTGCCCTGGTATGCCCAAGGTTCTGGAATGCGATTTTGGAGCAGCCCACACGACAAAATCGTGCCCCGATACCGACCGACCCCCCCACCCCTTGCGCCCCAGCATCCCAAATGCTCTGGATACTCAGACCGACACCCCGTCCCCTAACGCCCAAGCATTCCCCTGAGCTTTGAGGTCGCCACCGTAGGGTCCGTAGCCTCGTCGCGGGTGGCTCTTCTCTCCCGGCCCCTGGCCCAGCCTGTATGCTTGCGGTCGCTGCTTTCGTTCCTCGTTGTCCTCCTCCTCCTTCTCCTCCTCCTCTTCCTCCTGCTTCCCTCCTTTTCCGTTCCTCCTGCTCCCTGCCTGCTGTCCCCGCCTGGCCCGTCTTCTGACTGCCCGCCCGCCCCGCCAGCCCTGGCCTCCCGCCTGGGCGTCCGTCGACGTCTGCCTGCTTCTCCCGTCCTCGCCCCCTTCTGCCTGGCAGCACAGCCTGCCCAGGACCAGCGTGGCGCAGCCTGTTTCCGTTGCCTGAAATTCGGCCACGCTTGCGGGTGTTCCGTTTGCAGGGACACGCCTTTATATCGAGTTTATTTCCACCGCGGGAAGTGCTCATTGGAAGAGAGCCGTGTTTTCCGAACACTTTCCAAACCGCCCCGAGGAACCCGAGGAACCCGAGGAGCACGCGAGGAACCCGAGGAACCCCAGAACACGAGGAACCCGAGGAACCCAAGGAACCAGAGGAACCTCCGAGCAACGGGCAAAGTGACAATAGAAGGCACCGACCTTTAACCAAGTGAGAACCCCTCAGGCAAGCCGAAGTGGGGAATCCGCCGACCCCTTGGGGATCATCGGCGTGTGAGATGCTTCCCCCTCCCCAAACCCCTCCCCCGGGAGCCCGGTCCGGTCGATTTGGAGGGGGGGGGGGGGTCCGGGACGAGCGGTTCAAGGGGGGGGGGGGTCCGGGACGAGCGCTCCACGGGGCTTTTCCTGGCCCAAGAGGGCTTCAAGACGGGCCACGAAGCCCCCAAGAGGCCTCCAAGACGGCCCACGAAGGCTCCGAGAAGCCAAACGACCGCTCCAAGACGCCCACGATGGCCCCAAGACGGGCCAAGAGGTCTCCAAGACGGCCCCTGAGGTCCCAAATGAGCCTCCCAAGAGGGCCCAAAGAGTCAAAAATTGCTGATTTTCCAGAGTGTTTTTCGATGTTTTTTGCTTTTCCGCCTTTCCGGCTTCCCGACGCTCCAAGACGGGCAAAGAGGCCCCAAAGACAGCCCCAAGATGGCCCAAGAGGCCCCCAAGACGGCCTCCAGACGGCCCAAGACGGCCCCAACACGGCCCAAGAGGTCCCCAAGACGGCCCAAGAGGGCTCCAAGACGGCACCAAGAGGGGCCCAAGAGGGCGACCAAACATGTTGAAACTCTAGCTTTCTGCCCCCAGGAGCCCCAGGGGGCCCCAAGAGTGCCCCAAGAGGCCCCCAGAGGCCCTCACGAGGCCGCCCAGACGCCCCAAGGAACCCCCAAGAAGCACCCCAGAGGCTCCGAAACGGCCCCCAAGTGGCTCCAAAACTCGCTTCCAGAGGCCTCCGAAAAGCGATCCGCGAGATCCCGACACACATACAAGAAGCCTCTCAAGGGGTCGGCGGTGTGGCGTAAGCCTAAGAATCATAGTGTCAGAGGTCTGTTGGCGGCGCGCACAAGGGGGTAGGGGGTAGGGGGAAGGGGAAGGTTTCTTCGAAGGAGGCTGCTACTCAGAATGCGCGGGCAGCATGTAGGGCTGGCACCAGATGTAGGGCTGGCACCTTCTAAGAAACAGCCTCCTTCGAGGAAACATTCCCCCCTCTCCCTACCCCCCTGTCTGCGCCGTCAAGTCTGAGTGGAGGGGCCAAGGGACACACAAAGAAGTAGACATAAATCCCATGAATCCGCATATTGTCCATACTTTCTGGATTCTCGTCTTCCCCTCCACTTCCCACATGTTCCTTCTGTTCCTGGAGATCGACGTGTACTTGTACCTGCGGCTTTTTTCCTCCTGACAAAGGTCTGGGTGGACGATCGGCGCACCCAGACGC